CAACTGAAAACTCATCTCTTCCGTGAGCATCTAACTGCCTCCTCATAATAATAATAATATATATATTTTTAATTCTATGCCTTCACTTTTTCTGTTCTCTTATTATCATCCTGTCCTAGCTTTTTATTATTTTGAACGATGATTGAAACCTTGTATAACGGGCACTTCTCGTGTCTATTGCCATCTTATGATACATCGCTTCTTGTATTCCTCAACTGTAAGTCGCTTTGGATAAAAGCGCCTGCCAATGAATAAATGGAAGTGTAAATGTAGCTACAAAGTGAATCACAACATTACAAACTCCTACTCAAGCAAAAAAGTATATGAAAATTGAACAAAATGTCAAAGGTACAAGTTGTTGTTTTTTCCCGGACTGTTGCACTCTATTAAACATGTAGGTTTTATTTCCAGTTAAGATAAAACGAAGTGTTGTTCACCTTGTTCAGAAGATGCTGGTTCTTGAGTAACATGGAGCAGGCACAGAGCAACCAGCAGTCTCCCAGGATGCCTTGCTTTGGGTGGGCCTCCACAGGGTCATCGGGGAAGAGCTGAGGCTGCTTGCAGATCTCCTGTAATATACAGAAGGAAAAGTACTGTAAAGTTGCTTTGTGACTGAAATCGCATCCTGTACAGTAGGTACTATATGTGGTTTGAAACTTACTCCATGACCATTAAAAAAGTATGTTCTTTACAGTATGAATGAAATTCATCATGCAGTCACTGTTATGGTGTCAGGAAGTAGTAGGTCATCCTGCTCATTTTTGCCTTCTGTTTTAAGAATTCGTACAAACTTCTCAAGCTAACCCACTAAAATCCATACAAGCAAAACCAAGCTAAATGGAAATCAGTTCTTATAGAAGGTCTTCATGTGTGCTCGTTGGACTCTACATAATATTACCTGTGTGACTGAATATTATGGTACCTGTGGGCGGAGCCATGTGACATCACCCAGCAGTTTGGGGAGGGGCGTGGTGTAGTCACAGAAGAGTGAGGACTCCTCAGCAGGAAAGTCCGGATCCACAAACATCCCATGATGCTCACTCTCCGTCTCCATGGCAACCGGAAGCTGCTTCACTTCTGAAAGAGAAACACTTTAGTAACTGTGTGATTATCTGAGCACGCTTTACGTTTTAAAACTAAAAGACATCAAACAGTAACATATACAGTAAGACCATTGTCTTTGCTTGTTCCTGCATGTATGTCATACTCAATTCAGTAGCCTATATCAAAATAAAGCATGAACCTGAAAATGTTTTTGCCCTAAATTACGAGCTGTTCTTCAGTTTAAAATTTCAGCAATAAGTTGCGACAGTGGTGTTAAAGACGGCTTTTAATGGGAATTTTTAAAAGCCCAATTTTGAAAGTATCAAACATCAGAGCGAGCATTAATAATGCATTCATCCAGACGTACCGTCAGCTCAGCTGGGTTGCGGTTTTGAATGACATGGCCAGATCGAGGAGAAGGAAAGCATCAAGCTAAAGTAATATCCATCAACTCTGAGGCCGCTGAAACACAATCAATGCATTCAAAGAAATAAAAACACTGCACCAAAGCAATTCATCCCAAAACCGGAAGGACGCGCACGCCGCGGACAGCGCTGTCATCCGGGGCGGAGGAGCTGCAGCAGGGGCGCCCCCGAGCGGAACTCCTGAGAACTGCCAGCATTACAGATTTACTGTACAAATCGCCCATTACTGGTAAAGGTCTTTGCTTTGATTTTTTTTT